AGCAGAGAAGGCTGGAAGCAGGAGAATGTGCTGATCCATGGGTCTTCTGTAGGTGAGACCTGTGCCAAGCAACTGCTTCCCAATCTACGAAGAATCAGGAGGTAAATGCTGTTGCCCTGGCCAGAAGCCACTTTTAGGAGCCATTTCTGCTGCTGAAAAGTTTGGAGCCCAGTTGGGTAGAATAAGTAAGGTTTTGGCATTCTTCTTAGAATCCTGGAAGGAATGATAGCAATCAGTTGGTCCTGCTCCCTTCTGAGAGTCAGAGAAAGTTCTGGCTGGGCACCCATGGTGAGTGAAGCCTCCAGCTTCCCAAACACCCCTCCCGACAAGGCAGGTCTTGAGATGCCCTGCTCACCCAGACTCACCCCAGCCTCAACCCCCCAGGCAATGCTGGCTGCTTCTCCAAGAGTGTGGCTGCAGCATGCAGTCTCTTCTGACCAGGCGTATTTTAGGACAGGTGAAGAAGCCAAATGAGTTCACACTACCTTCCTCCCCTCCAAGGTGACAATTATTCATGGCTAAAAAAAACCCCAGCAGGTTATGAGCAGGAAGAAACTGAATCTTGCTCCATTTCCATACAACATACTTGAGGAAGTCAAGGCCAATAGACAAAAATCAAAAATGCTTCCCCCTTCCAGCCTGGTTCCGGCATTCTACGTCCTGGCACTGGTAATAACCACCACATCCAGAAACAGTGCCAGGCACTGCAAGAGGTATGTTACATGCATTTTCTCGTTAAAAACATGCAGGGCCTCTGCAAGATAGGAATTACTGCCCCCACCTCACAGGTGGGAACACTGAGCAGTTAACTCATCCACAGTCACAAGATGAAACAAGCAGCAGACTCTGGTGCCCAGTCAGCTGTTTTGAATTCTCACTGGCTCTTAATAATCTCTAATGACCTCCACATACTATTTCTACTATATCTATTGGTTTTCCTGTTGCTGCTGTAATCAACTACCACACACCTGGTGGCTTCAAACAACAGACACTTGCTCTGCCGACGTTCTGGAGGCCAGAAGTCCGAGATCAGGGACCATGCTCCCTCCTAGGCTCTAGAGAGATTCCCGCAGCTCTTGCTGCTTCTGGGGGCTGCTGCCAGTTCTTGGCTTTGTGGCCACATCACTTCACACTCTCTGCCCCTGGGACCACAGTGCCTCCACTTCTGTTTGTATCAACTCTGCCTGCTTTTTATGAGGATACATGTGATTGCATTTGGAGCCCACCCAGATGACCAAGATATCTCCCTGTCTCCAGATCCTGAGGTTAACCACATCTGCAAAGCATCTTTTTCCAGTAAGGTGACATCAACAGGTCCCAGGTATTAGGACAGGGATATCTTTGGGGGGCCCTTTTCCAGCCTAATATACCATATTTGCACATTCCTTCCTTACTTTATTCCTTCATAGACAGTAATTGTGTGTTTGGGCATTGTGCTAAGAGCCTGGAACTAGAGAAATCATAAAAGAAATGATAGTCCCTGCTCTTCAGAACCTGTGTGACCTTTCATGCCTATTTCATGCCTTTCATACATATGTGCTCTTGTGATTAGTAACAGGAGTAAGAGATGCAGGGACAGTTACAATCGCTAGCTAGCACTTACTCTCTGAAGCACTGACATTTATGTGACCCTCACAGCGCCTCATCCCCATCTGTAGGGTGGCTCCCCAGTCTGTATTTGTCACTTGTCTGCCCAGAATGCTACAGGAGCACGGGGGAGAAGCAACTCAGGTGAGGAAGTGTGGGGTCAGGAAGGCCTCCTGCAGGAGCAGCCACTTCCCCTGAATCGGGAGGACAGGCCTTGGCCAGAGGCAGCGGGATTGGGGAGGGGATGCCAGTGAGGAGGTGCCCCAGGCAGAGGGAGCTGGGATGTTCTTAGAGGGGCTGAGGAGGGACAGGAGACAGAGTCTGAAGCCTGCTGAGGCTTCTCCCTAGAGAACCACCTGCAATCCCCGAAGCTCCTCTCATGCGTGCTGAAGCTGCTGCAGCTGTCGAAAATCACCCGGAAATCAGGTCACCTGGAGGAAGAGGCGGTGAAGTGGGAGGCTCCCAGTGATCTTGCTCCCTGCTCCCTCAAGGGGCTCCTTCTTCCTCGGGGCAAACCCCACACCCCAGGTACCAGCCTTGGTGTCGGGATTCTTCTGTCATATCCACTGGGGCTGTGCTTCGAGCTCTTTGATCAAAAGTTGGGAGACCTGGGGCTCGGTCCCACCGGCATCCCTAAGAACCTGGGAGCCTTGGGAGCTGCACCATCTCTGAGGGGCCTTCTAGCCTGGGCTCTCAGTGCAAATCTGTTGTGATGGCCCAAGCGTCCGTTCAGCAAGGACAGGCTGTGGCTGCGCCCCTCTCTGTCGCCCCGTCAGGCTCACCCGGCACAGGCACTCAACAGAAAGAATGTAACAACCCAGAGGCTGGGCCTGCGATGCACTGTGGTGACCAGCTGACCCAGTTCCAAGCCCATGTCTGGCGGGGGAGGCGGGCAGACCTCAAACACTTACAAAACAGTGGTAAAATTGCAGAAGGACCTCGCCAAGGAAAGTCAGGGGTCAGAAGGGGCTCCCCTGAGGAAGAAACTTGTGATTTGGTGTGACCTGTCTTTTGGCAGAAGAGACACAAATCTGACTGTGAGCTTCCAGCTTGGCTGGAGGGACCTGTACATGCTCACATCTGAGGCCCCACCTGTGCCAGCTGAGGTGGGCAAGGCCTCCCAGCTCTCTGGCCTCCCATTTTGGGAGATTTGATGCCAGGGGGTGCTCTGAGAGCCATTTCTGCAGCTCCCCCCAGAGAGAAGCCCCAGCTCCTGTCTGTCTGCTCTCTGTGTGAGAGAGAACACATGAGCTGACTCTGGGGGAGCCAATAAGGAACAGCCTGCAGCTTCACCCTAGCTCCTCCTGCCGCCCCCACTCTCCCTGATTCTCTGGCTGCACTTCCTCCTCCATTTCACAGGGTAGGTGGTAGGGGAGGTACTTTCCATACCCTTTGCCTATAATATATATAGACTCTCATCTTCAGTCACCCTCCAAGGGGTAGGTTGGGGCCCGGTTCTGCACACAGGCTGTGTGGCCTCACCTCTCCATCGTACAGATGTGGAAACTGAGGCTCAAAAATGTTAGCATCTTGCGGAGCAGCGTTCCACTTGGTAGAGAAGCTACCACTCTTCCCAGGACACCCCTATCCCCCATGCCCCACCACCACCATGGCATCCCTTCCCTGCTCTCTAATGTCTTGGACTCGCCAGTTCTCAAACTCACAAGTCTCTCTTCCCAACAGTTGCTCGCAGAGGAATCAAAGTATTAAGGGGGAAAAGGGTAGATAAAAGCCACATTCGCTGATGGAGCTGGGGCTGGAGAGAAGAGAGTCTGGCTCACAGAGAAGCTTCATGGAGGCCCCTACACAGGATGTATCTGGAGTTGGGCAGAAAGACCACAGAGCCGGAAACTGAGGCCTAGAGAGGCGAGGCCATACAGCCTGTGTACGGAACTGGGCCTCAGCCTACCCCAGACTCCTTGTCTGCGTCCCTACACTGCCCTTGGCTCCTACAGATGGTGGTGCAGGCCTTCCTCTGGACCACCCCAGCTGGAGATCAGGAACAAGAAGGTGATTAAGACACATCCTGTCTTGGAGGGTTTCTCAGTGTGGTGGGGGTGGATAGGCACCCCAGCTGAGAATTATAGGGCTCAGTAGGCACCTGGAGGAACAGGCCAGAACTCAGACTAACAGGTGAGATAGAATGCCATCAGGGAAGGCTCCTGGAGGAGGAAACCTCTGAACTGAGCTGGAAGGCCTAAGCGGGAAAGCATGAGCTCACCCAACACCTATATTTGGGTTGGGGACAGCTAATGCCACAAGAGCCTGGTGTGCTGAGCAGCCAGGTAGGAGAGGAAACAAGAACCCAGTCAGATGCCCCAGGGTCCCCAGGCAGGGCCGGGATTCCGTGCTGGGCTCTGAGAGGAAGGAGAGTGCAAACCCCAAGAAGGGAGGTGACCTTTAGGTGCTGGGTGTCCTGGGCCTTGCCTGCAACAGGCAAGCCTGACGGAAGGGCCCTGCTTTCCCTTCCTCCTCCCTGTCCCTGGTCCTCTCTTTACCTCCCTTGTCCCAGGGTCCCTGCTCCAGGCTGGGGCTCTGTTCCCTGCACCTTCTCCTTGTGCCCTTCCCCAGCAGGGAGCTGGCCCCAGAAGTGCTGTTGGAGAGGACTGGATGGTCCGAAGCCTGGAAACTGTGCTTTCTGAGGTATCACAGAGAAGCTAAGAGTAGGGAGTCTAAGTCCATCCAGATCTAGACTGGACATGAATCCTACCCTGCCCCTCACAAGCTGTGTGACCTAGGGTAAGTACCTCAACCTCTCTGGGTCTCGGCTTCCTCAGAGATGAATAACAATCCAACACTAAGGTGGGAAACTAACCTAAAGGGGGAAACACCCAGAACATGATGAACGCTCTGTCCCATTCGCCACCCACGGAGGGCGCGGTAGGCAGGGATGGCCGGGCTGTGGGGTTGGGCGACCGAGGACGGGTGGGAGGCTGTGGGACTCCTGCGCAGGTGGTCGCGGGGCTCCAGCTCACCACGGCATAGCATTCTCGGGAGGAAGGGGCGGTCCTGGGGCAGCCCTGAACTTCCCGGCACTTGTCACGCACTCCCTCCCCGGCCTTCCGGGGGAGGCGACGAGCTCGGGGACCCGAGGGAAACTGAGGCCGCGGCTGCGGCCCGCCGCGGTCGGCGTGGGCGGCCCCGCGGGAGAAGCGCGCGGCTCCTTTTGTCTGCACCGCCTCGCCGCCCGCGTCCCCGCCCCTCCCCGCCCCGAGCGCCGGGCTGCGGCGCCGCGGCCGACACGGAGCGGCCGCCGCCGGGCGGAGGCTGCGCGGCGCGCACCCACGCGGGCGGGGCCCGGGCGGCCCCGGAGGGCGCGCGGCGATGGCGGCGGCGGCGCGGGGCTCGGGCTAGCTGCGGGGCCGGCCCGGATGGCGGGCGGCGCGGGCTGGGCGGGCGCCCCCGCGGCTCTGCTGCGCTCCGTGCGCCGCCTGCGCGAGGTGTTCGAGGTGTGCGGCCGCGATCCCGACGGCTTCCTGCGCGTGGAGCGCGTCGCGGCGCTCGGACTGCGCTTCGGCCAGGGCGAGGAGGTAAGGGGGCCGCGGCGGGGGCGCCCGCGCCCCGATCCCCGGAGCCTCTGCCTTCCCCGCCCGCCTCCCTCCCGAGCCGGGCCTCGTCGCCCCGCCGGACCCCCTCCCCCAGCTTCCCTGCCTTTTCACCTGCCTGGGACCAGTGTGCCCGGCTGCCCCGCAAGCACCGGGCGGTGGTTTGCTGCCAGGAGGCATTCCGCCTGTGCCAACTCCTACCCTTCGCCGAGGCTGGGGACCTCCAACCTGGGGCATCCCCTGTCCTGTAGGACCCTGGTTTTCCACCTTTGGCGCCTGTGCTGTGAGCATCACGCGTCACGCCCGGGGTGGCCTCTCTGCCCACCTGACCTCCCTCGCAGTGCGGGTCCCGCTGATCAGTCGAAAGCCCACTCGGTGTTTTGGGAAGGAGCTGTCAGCACCTGGCGGCAGGACCCGTTCGCCTGCGGAGGACAAGACGCAGAGATCTGTGCTCGCGGAGTCTCAGGATGCGGTGGGGAGGCGTGTGCCCCACTGGGCCTAGCCAAGGGGTGGAGGGGACAACGAGGGGCCGCTGTGGCCTTGACTGCAGCCACGCTGCCCAGAACGCAGAGGGAGGTGTGCTTGCGGCCATCCTGGATTCTCCAGCGCCCAGTGACCCCTCATTCAGGCTCCACTGGGCAGGCCTGGTTTGCAGTTGGCTGTGCTGGTTGCGGCAGGCCAGCTTGAGCCAAGCCGGGGAGCCGCAGCTGAGCAGAGCCCTGTGGTGGGCCTGTGTCTGCTGGGGGAAAGGGGGAGTTATGTTGGTTGCTGGCAGGGCTGGAATCAGAGGGTGGGTGCTGCAGGTGGGGTGGGCTGAGGAGTATCAGTAAATGTCCCTAGAGCAGTGTTCTCTCAATGCCATGGGCGCAGAGATTGTGACTATGTCTGGGTGGGGAGGGCAGGGCACCCACCTGGCAGGAGGACATCCCCATCTTCATGCTACTTCCCACTCTGAAGTGGTTAGGGTGTTCTCTTGGGGACAGAATCCCTGAGTCATGAGTTTCTAAGGCCACTCAAGCATGGGGAGCATGGGGCCACAGGCCTCAAATGGGCACTGGCTGGCATTCGGTTCCTTGGACAGCTCTGGCCTAGCGTTCCAGAACATGGGAGGAGCCGGGGCATGGCTGGGTTGGATACATGCCTCCATGTCACCCGGCAAGTGAGAGGTGATAGTCATCTCTCCATGGTAGTCATTGCTCCAAAGGACCTGGGAGCAGCAGGTGGAAGAGGATCATGTTTGAGAACTCAGGCACCCCATCCTAGGAAATTAGCAGCTGCAGTTCTCATTAGAGCATACCTTTCCTATAGCCACCATGATCCTTCTCCTCCCCTCAAGTCCAGCCAAGCCCCTCCCTGTCACCAGTGCCTCCCTCTGAGGCTCTCGGAGGCTGGCTGAGCAGCCCCCTAGCATGCGGAGAGCCCCAGCACCTTCCTCCAGACACAGGCCTGGCTCTAGCTGGTACTTGGAGTTCTAGAGCTGCAGAACCTCAGTGGTGGGAAGGGCCTCCCAGCAATCTCTGGCAGGACCTCCCCACGCCCCCAGCTCTGAGCCCCCAGCAAGTCTCACCACCTTATCCCTGAGCTGGACAACTCCTGTTGTTAGAACCTTGTCCCTCATATACTATAAAGTCAAACCTGCCTGTCACTTAGTCATTGCGGATCTGCACAGGAACTCACATGAGTCTCTCTTCTACACAGCAGCCTGGAAATATTTGGAAACATGTTCCTGTGCTCTCCACTCTCTAAGTGGTGCTCTAAGTCCAGAGGCACAAGGCTGATTATAAACTCCTTTCCCACTGTGTTCCCCCATCAGCTTTACTGCAGGCCAAATAGCCCCGTTCCTGAACTCGCAAGCTGCTTCAATACAACCTGGCAGGAGCTAACCCTCTGGCCTCTGGCACTGGCGATGCCATTGACTAATTTTCCTAGTATCAGCACAGAGGGGTTGGGCCAGGAGACCCCCAGGCCACTGCAACCTCAACATGTCACACTCAGGCAGGTAGCTCAGGATGGGGCTGCCCTTTGGGTGGTCACCACATTTTCCTCTCATATTAACTTTCTGGCCACTAAAGCCCCGGGGGATCTTTCATAGACACCTCTGCCAAACCAGGTTTCCCCTCCATACTGGAGGAGGGTCAATGACTTCTTTCTTTTTAAAGCCTAATCTAAACTATGACAGAAGCAGTTTCTATGCATTGTACAAAGTTAGAAATATGGACAAACAAAAATAAAAGTATTCTGTTTCCATCTCCCAGAGAGCTCTGCTGTGACACCTTGGTCATATGCTTCCAGAGCTGTTTCTCTGCTCATATGTAGATTTTCTCCATAAAATGAGATCATGCTGTGCAAACTGTTCTGTAACCTGATTTTTTTTTCCAGTAAATGATCAGCACTTTTCTGCTTTAATAAATCCTCATCTCATTTAATATGCAAGCCTTATTCAGATTTCCCTATTTGGTTCCCAACTGTCCATTTTTGCAGTTTTTTTTAAACCAGTTTCTCTCCAGAACTGTACAGTGTGTCCAGTTGCTGTGATCTCTGGGCCTCTTACTCTAACATGATTCCTTTTTACTTTTAAAATTTTTGGTAATTCTGACTTATTTGAACAGACCAGGCCTGTCATCTGTGTCAATAACTTCTTGAATCTAAACCTGTTACCTGCCCTGTTATCTTACTAAATTTCATCTCATACATTTTATCTCATTGTAACTGACAACAGAGAGACTGTCAAATCTGACCTCTGTCACTGGACGCCACTGGAGAAGCAGGTGCTCTAAGTCCGGATCCGCAAGGCTGATGATAAACCCGGGGCAGGACCACGGACAGGGTCTAGCAGGGGCCTTTTCTGCTCACTCTGTGTTACTGACTGAGATCCACAGAAAAAAGCATTTTGCATCTCTGCTAAGTACACACCAAGTTCGCGTATGCATTACAAAGTAGGAATGACATTTCTTTGTACGTAGGGATCCCTTCAAAATGCCATGGGCTCCAACAGCGTCTGTTTTATTTCTTTAAAAATCAGGCAGGCACACTGTCAGAATTGCTGCTGCTAATAATAATATTTTCTAAAAACTTTCAAGAATCTTTGAGAGGCTGTTCTGGGCTGGAGTTTCCTGGGGGTTGAGATCAAGATCTGGGTGCAGTCTCTGGTCTCAGCCCACCCTCCTTGCCCAGCTCTCACCTTCCAGGCCTTGATTTCCCAGCCCACTGGGGCTGTAGGGTGGGTAACTATTGTCCATTAGATGTTGGGTTCTGTGAACTTCCCTGAGCAGATTATCCACATTTTCCTAAGTACCCCAGTACCTAAAATACCAGAATCAAGTGCTTTGTAAAAATAAAAATATCCTAGATTGCAAAGTATGAAACAAATATCCATGAGACCATACTGGCATAAAAAAATGATTGAATGGATAAATAAATAAATACCGGGAAAACCTCCCATGCACAAGAAATTCCAACAATTCCTACAGATAATTCCCCATCAAGGGGTGGAGCTGCTGAGGTGTCAGCTGTGCATAGTGACTGGACAGTGTGCAAAGAGGGAAGAAGAGGGACATTACAGGGGAGAAACTTGACAAGCACTGCCTCAGCCAGGTGATCAAGGTCAACATCAGCAGTGGTGAGTCATGTAGGCAGTATGTACCCCTGATGTGACGCAATATGAATGGCACTTTCCCTCTGTCGTCTTCCTCCCAAACCCCTACCCCAGCCTAGTCATGAGAAAAACACCCAATAAATCCCAACTGAGGGGCATTCTGCAGAACACCTGGCTAGTATTCCTCAGATCTGTCAAGGTCATTAAAACTAAGGGAAGTCTGAGAAACCATCGCAGCCAAGCAGAGCCTAAGGAGACATGCTGATTAAGGTGGGTGACAAGAAGAGCACGATAGGTTAAAAACTAAGGAGGTCTGGATAAAGTATGGGCTTTAGTTAATAGTAATGCTATGCATGTATTAGGCCGGCCTCTGATAGCCCCCAAATGTATTGATTTAGAAAGGGAAGACAAGGAAGTTTGATGAAACGTGAGTCTCTGTACTGCGTGACACACACAGACCGACCCTTTAAGGAGCACAGAGATGAGGGCACCACCACTGTCCCAACCCTGAGAGTCTGTGACAAAGGGGCAGCTGGACTCCTGTGGCAAGCAGGTAAGATGGTGGCCTGACCCGTGTTGACCTCTGCTGTCTTGCTTTTTTTCTAGCCTCTCTGGGACTTTGTTCGCTCACCCATAAGCTGGGGGTGACACTAGCCCCATTCCACAGGATCACTGTGGAGCTGGAGCACGCTCACGCATGTTGAGTGCTCAGACCGGTATCTGCCCCAAGCAGACCCACTATCTGAATCACAGCCACTGCTGTTATTTTTTTCTAAACACAAGATCTTTGAGAGTCTGTTCTGGGCTGGGGTCTCCTGGGGGTTGGGGTCAAGGTCTGGGCCCAGTCTGTTCTCAGCCCACCCTCCTTGCCCAGCTCTGATCTTCCAGCCCCTCTTGCATCCTTCCCGCAGTCTGGGAGTGGGAGAGCTTGAAAGCAGCAAGAGCTGTCTTGGGGCACATGCCCTGTGAGACATTCTTCTCCCTTTTCCAGTGTGAAAACCATCCTTCTTGCTAGAAAAATGCCAATGAGTAGTTGCATGGTGTCTCTGCCAGCCATTAACATAGCACCATCTCCTCTAGGCAGCAAGCAGGGAACAGAGGTCCACTCCCACATCTAGAGGGTGGTGTTAATTATTTGGGGGCTGACTCAGTTGTAGCCAAGCTGGGACTAATTTGTAATTTCCCCCTGCTTTGCAGCTGCCCCTGGACATGGCCAGAAGCAACTGGGGCCCTGTGCATCCTTGTTCATACTGAACAGGGAATGAGATAACAGTCCAGATGGGGCTCCCTTAGTCCCCATGTCCCCTCTGCCAGGAGGGAGATGCCACTGCTGCCTGACTTCAGCCTGAGTGTCCAAGCTGGCAAAGGGCTTAGGGTGCTGACTAATCAGGAGCCCTCCCTGGGGCTGGGGTCCACCCCTGAGATTCTCAGGCTAGTAGGGTGGGAGAACCCTGACGAAAGCTGGGTCTGCCCAGAGGAGAGGGGATTGAATGCTGGGGAGGAAGCACCATGCCCACCACCTCTGTGGCTGGAGCTTGGAGCTTGAGTGGTGGGAAGAGGAGAGGCTCCAGGGAAAGGCAGGGGCCAGGCCAGGAAAGGCCCAGTGTTCTCTGTAGTGCGGGGCCATGAGGTCAGGTGTGTGTTTAAGAACAGGGGGCTGGACATGGAGAAGACAAGTAATGGCTCTATAGCATCTTACTACGCTGACACTGCCTGTGGTTGGGGTGGGGGCAGTGGTGAGGACATGAGAATGCGGGTGAATGTTGAAACCCCAGTGTGGGTCCTGTGAAACCTTCATAAGATTGTATATCAATGATACTTTAATAATAATAATAAAACAAACTAAGAATAAAAAAAAAGAACAGAGGCTGGATCTGGGAGGGGCTGTGCCATTCGGTTAGAGAGGAAGAGGTTCCTGACCTGGGCAGTCGGGGAGGCAGGAGCGGGCGGTGAGGGGGGTGCAGATTCAACAGGGGTCCCAGAGGCCTGCAAAACCCCAAGTCACTCCTGAATTGTGGAATTTAAGGCTCTTTTGGAGAACAGAACCCACTCTATGTGGGGCATGGGGGATGACAGAGGAAGGCAGGCCAGGTCCTCTGAGCCCCACAGGAAAGGGGAAGATGCCTTTTGATGCGGGAGCAGAACAGGAGTGGGCCCAGAGAGACCTCTTCCCTGTGATTCTGTCCCACCTGGCTGCACCCTGAGCAACCCCTGCTCCTGGGGTTGATGGTCATTGTGGACACTGGGGATAAGGCCATGACCCCTCAGGGGCAGGAGGGAGCAAGCCCTTGCTGGGATGCTAGCACCCCTGGGCCTCTGGTTTGGCATTTCTGGGAGGGCACCTGGAGAAAGCCCATGGGGACTGGTACATCTTGTCAGACAGTCTTCTTGGATCTATGTAGGGAAACCTGTCCAGATTATAGTTCCTTCCCAAGACACTGGGTTCTAGAGAAGGAGGGAGCTCCAGGTTGTGGAGGGCTCCCTGAGGGGGGCTGTCCTGCTCCCTGGTTGGGATCTGACAGGGGGAGAGGTTCAGCCTTCCAAACATTACTCACGCCCTGGGGGGGTTTCAGTGGGTGGAGAACACCTTTGGGTGCTGGGTGTTAACCCTGTGAAGGAGGACTTACCCCCTTGCACTGGTGGATGCCTGGGCTCAGGGTCACCAGGCCAGGCAGGTGGCTGTCAGACCCAGTCCCACCTCGGAGGCCCTGAAACTCTCCCAGCTCCAGGAAGAGAACCAAAGAAGCAAAGGAGGAAGGCGATGGGGGTGGTGGAGGCAAGGCAGGGGAGGAGGCTAGCCAGAGGCTTCTGCATGCCCCTCCAGGGTAGGGGCCTGGGAGGGGGCAACCCAAAAACCTGGTGGGTAGAGGGTGGATGGCTGAGAAACTGCACCTCCTTCCATGGGCTCCACCACCATGTGCACACATCAACCTGGCCTGGAGGCTAGTGCACATCTGGGGCTGGAGCCGCACCCAGGCGCCCCACCCTGGGCAACTTGGTGCAGGCTGGGACACCATGTTCAGGGGGCCATTTGTACAGGCTTGGGTGCAGAGGTCTGTGCCTGGCCCTGGAGTGAGTTGGGGAGGGCAGGGGGCTCTCCACCTCCCACTCAGTGGCCAGCAGTTAGAGCTGGGGTGAACCAGACCCTGGGTGGGATGCAGGGGAAAATGCCCTTGGTCTGGAAACGGAGTGAATGTCACGGCTGGGTCAACTGCTGTCCTCCACCAACCCCTACATGATTGGGTGAATGCCCTGAAATTTGTATAGAGTAGTCAGTGGAAATACCTTTTGTATTTGGGAGTTGTCTTAATATGTGTTTCCAAGATTTAAAAAAATTTTTTTTTCCTGATAGCCTCTTTCATACCTGCTACATGCCAGAACTCCTTCAGGCCCAGGGGAACAGGAGAGTCCTGGAGTTTACATTCCGATTTGGGGTTGGGGGAGGGGTGCTGGCCAAGAGGCGGAGGAACAGACTCTGTCAGGTGGTGCTGCGTACCAGGAAGAAACATAAAGTACTGAAACAAAACCCATTGGGAGATTCTTGCCCTTAGAAAGACCTGTCCTAGATGGACATGAGGTGGAGCCTGGAATAGTGGGGGCTCCACCTTGCACATGTCTGGGGGCAACTGATCCTGCAGAGACAAGAGCAGCCTCAGGGCTTAGGGAGCAGTAGGCAGACTGCGAGGCAGAGGAGGAGTGAAGGGAGATGGCAGGGGCGCAGGGGGCCTGGGGGAGGCTGCCACTTCCTCCAGGTGAGGTGCTGGAGGCCCAGAGCAGGGCGCAGAAGTGCAGACATGGCTGGACTTGGGCAACAGAGCCCATTGGAAGTGTGGTGCAAGAGAAGACACTTGGAAGACCTAGGGGCTGCCGATTGCTGGCTGGGGAAGACTGGGAGGCAGGAGGAGCATGGGGCGAGGGGTCAGGAGAACCACGTTGGCCCATGAAACCTGAGGTGCACACAGCACCCAAGGGCAGATGTGGGCCAGCAGTGGAGAGGGGAGTCCAAGAATGTGCCTCAGCTCAGCTTGCTCCCCCCGGCAGAGCCCGGACTCCTTCTTCTCTTCTACCATGGCCCTTAGGTCTCACTGCCAACAACAGGGACGTTTGCAAGAGGGAAAAACAGAACCTAATTAAGGTGGGATTCAGTCCCTTTTAAAAGCCAGGCCTGGTATAGGGGACTATGGACTCAGGTGGGCTGGCTTGGGGGCCAGAAGATGCCTTAGGACACCTGCTTGCCGTCTTCTGTCTGGGAGGCCAGGCTGTTGGTCTGGGGCTGCCCCTTGCCTTCTCCCTGCACAGAGTAAGAACTGGCTAAACCATGATTAACTGCTTGAACATGACCGCTAGCCCATCCCATCAGACCCTGATTGGAGCCACCCCACATTAGACTTGGGGTTCTTTGTACCTTTCTGCGCCTCACTATCTGTCCCCCGCAGTATCTTCTGCACCATGGCTTAGGACCACCAGTTCCTTGCAACCTGTCACGCCTGGGGTCACTGCCGAGGGACCCGTTGTCCATAGTTGTATGATCTTGGGAACAAGGGCAGCCAAACAGCTCAGACCCCAGAAGTTTGTATGTGAGTGATCCAAGAGAGAGGAGGCCTCCTGGGGTCCACGGCCCAAGCTATAGTTATAAGGACCCCTAAGTTTCTTTCAGAACTAAGACCCTGAGTCCAACCCATGCTTCACTTGACATGGCACAAAATTCAGGGAAGATTGCTAGCTTTCTCCAAAAGCATGTAATGCTTGCACATGGGCCCATAGTGGGCATTGCCCCAGAAGATCCCAGTCTAAAGCCAGTACCTGGACAGGGTAGACAGAGGGCTGATTTACACCAAACCAAAAACTGAAGGGGAAGTAGAGGTCTGTTCAATGCCTGTGTCACCCCAGAGCATCCCTGTCAAGAGATGGGACTCACTGCCTCCTAAGGCAAGCCCATTCTGTCTTGACAAGGCCCTGGCTGAGTTCTCTCGTACAGTGAGCTGAGGTATGCCTCCTAGAGCTCCTGCTGCTGCTTATCCTTCCCTCTACCCATCCGTCCAGCCCCCTCCTGCACATTCAACAGTGCATCCATTTATGCATCCACTTACCCATCTATCTACCTGTTCATCATCCCTCCCTCCTTCCCTCCCTCCCTCCATCCCTCCATCCCTCCATCCCTCCCTCCATCCATCCATCCCTCCATCCATACATCCGTGCATCCATCCACCCAACCATTTACCGGCCCATCCATCTGTCAACCCATCTATTAACCTATCTACTGATTCACTCATTACCGATCCATCCATTTGTCCATCTGTCAGTTCACCCACCTTTCCACCAGCCTCCCCAGCCCCCCATCTATCCATCCACCATCCAACATTTATAAGTATCTTCCAGTCACGAAGATTTGCAGGGAGTGACATTTGCAGGGAGTGACAAGAGGCTGCATGTGGAGAAGGCCCAGGAAGGGAGGGGACGGTGAGGGCCCAGGCTGGAGCAGGGCCAGATGGTGACCTTTTGGAAGGATCTGGAGCTGGGACTGTCTGAGTGGCTCAGATAGGTTTTGGACAG